GTCCACGATCGAGTTTTAGTTTTATGATTCCTGCATACAGTGTTTATTTAAAAACTTGAGCTCAGTTCAATTTATTCCCTATTATATTATTTTGGTGTGATCTATTGACACAGCTATTCAGAAATAAATCAGCAATTCTATCCAATGCATAACTATTTAGCAATTAGGTTTGGTGAATTATTCCTGGCCGCCTCAACTAGGTAGTATATTTTTGTGTTTGCAAGTGTGAATTGGTCTAAATAGGTTTAGTTGGTCAACAGAGTGGTCCAGCGATCTTAGCGATCTAAACATTTTGGATTGGATCCAGCTATGGCTGATAGACAACAAATTATATCCTTTAAGGTACCCTAATGTATATGACAATTGTGGCTGTAACAGGAACGTAGGATAGAATGAGTATTTGGAATTCTCTTACTAGATTTGGGAGTTTGCATTCTTCCATGTGTTTGGGTATCACATACCTGCGTGTCAGCAACTGGAAACTGTCCTTTCTAGAATAACAGATTTTGAAAGGAAAGATTCACTAGTAATACTAGCCCCATTTCACTCATAGTTTTGTGATCATCATGTTATTTAATTAGTAAACATTATGATTATTTAGAGGTAAAGGGTTTTTAAACAGATTCTTATATGTAGATGTGAAGACTCTTTTAATAGAGTCTTATGTATGTAATATTGAAAACATAAGTTAGTAGTAAATCTTATTGAAAAAAATTCAGATGTACAGTACTTATGTGAAAACTCCTTAGTATTCTGCCATTATATTTTATTTTTAAGGTAAATATTTCAGTGTTGTTGCTGTCACTAATTTTCCAAATCTTTCTTTACAGATTATTTCTGCTGGCACAGGTAAAAAAATGAAAAATATTTTCTTTTGCCATTTAAAAAAATGATATTAAAAATCAACACTTTTTGCGAATGCTTTTAGAACTTTAATAATTGCATAAACTTAGATTGCATTTGAATATTTTCTAAATTGTAACCAGGAAGGTGGGGAAAATTGAACATGATTTTAGTATCTGTTTTGCAGGTTTCACAGTATCTGTTTATGATGTGGCATCAAGAACTATTTCTCTTCGTTGGCCTAAATTTCCAGATGTCTCTTCTTACAGAGTCACAGCAACTCCCGTGAAAACTGTGGGTCATACTCTGATGGCCCATTTCAGTGATGTTACACTTGTAGGTACTTTGTCATCACTGGCCCCCAACACAGTTTACATTGTAATGGTGGATGCCATGGATAAAAATGGGGTTATACTAGCTCAAACACAGATAAAGCAATTAACAGGTTAGTATCAGATAGAATTGTATCAATAAGAATTGGGTGACTGGGAATTGTGAGAGTTACATTCCTATTCCCCAGTATATCTGCAGAGTGCCATATTGGAAAAAGATTGTGTGAACAATGGTGACGCACAGATCAGCAGTCTAACTGGTTAAAGGACTCTCTTTCATCTTGGCTAGCCCTCCATTCAGAAGTCCAAAAACTGGACTCTACTCTGCTGCTCTGAATCCATCTCCCTCTCTCTGTGAACAAAATGGAAATAAATTGGACAACTTCTATTGTATAAATTGTACATAAATTGTACACTTCTACTCCTCCCATAAATGTTCTTTCAGACCTATGTTCTTAATTCTAATGGGTCTAAGCCTTCCTGGGTAAATCAGACAAGAAAGATTACTAAATGAGACAGTTCTGCTTTATTTTAAGGCTGTATTAACAGAATCTGACGGTACAAACTTCCCCACATCATTTTTGGCTATCTAAACAATTAGGCTGGGTCCTTCCTAAGTTTCATTTCTAACTGTTACTTCATGAGGCCCCTGTCTTATTTGTCTGATTGTTTCCTAGGTAGCACTTCTTCCCTTCGTCCTTCAAGGTCATTCACACATTCCATTATAATGGGGTTGATGAAAAATCGTAGCAGCTAATCCTATCAGCTGCATTTCCCCCTTCACAAACTAGGTTTTTCTCATACTGAATCACAAACTAGCCCATTACAATTTAGCCAATTAGGGTCTGGATGGTAAGTTTACAATTTACTGTGAACTGTAAAAGTCGTGTTTAGTTAACTTTGGGTTAAATGTGTCATGAGAGTGTATTTGATTCATTCTTTTCAATCCTTTCTCCTGGGCTTCTTACAATTCATCAGGCAATTAAGCTGCTTCAATTTGGAATTCCAATGATAAAACATCCACTGTATTCTTTGAGGTATATTCATTTCTGTGTTTAATTACAGCAGTGAATACTAAAACAGTTAAATCCATGGAGGATTTCTGTAATGAAATGAAATGAAATGCTGTGCTTAGAAGTCTTTATTTTGTGAAGAGAAGATTTAAATGTGGCTTTGAAGAAAAACACTTGCAGTGAAGTAGAAAATAAAGACATGTTATTTCCGCTACTATACTTCCTTTTTCTGAATAATTTCTTACTAGCACAGACTTTTGTTAAAGAAGGCTCAGTATCCTTGCAAAAAAAAAATTGGATGTATGTGTGCGTGTATCTCAGTAGCTGCTTAGCAAGCACTGAATGAAAGAATGCACTGGTTTAATAATACAAGGGAAATATTGTTCAAAAACAACTCACCTTTCTTGCAGCTCCAGGAAAATTGCCAAGGTTTCTGAAACCCCATTTATTGTGAAATTGCTGACTGTTTGAGAATGCAGTTTTTTGTTTTTCTTCTTCTGTCATTTCCTTCATGAATTCTCTCTTCCCCTGCCTATATATTTTTTCTATTCAGAAAATGTTTTTTTTTTATTATAAATTTTTATTGAATAACAGAAAAAGAAAAAAAATTAAAAACATTTGAACATGGTAAATCAGATTTGACAAACATCTCAGTTCATATTCACAATTAATTACTAATAAAAAACTTCAGAAAATGTTTTAATGTATGGGTAACACTCGATTTATAACATTCATTTAGCAACTGTTTGTAGTTACAGTGGCACTGAAAAAAGTGACTTACGATCAATCCTCGCTCTTACAACCATCCCAGCCTCCCATTACATGATCAAAATTTAGGTGCTTGGCAATGGGCACGTGTTTATGATGGTTGCAGTGTCCTGAGTCATGTGATCCTCATTTGTGACCTTCCAAGCCGACTCATGACAAGTAAAGTCAATGGGGGAAACTGGATTTGCTCGATGACCATGTGATTGACTTAACAATTGCATGATGGCAGAAAAGTGTATAAAACCAGACACAACTGACTTAACAACCGCCTTGCTTAGCAATGGAAATGATCATCCCAGTTGTGGTCATAAGTTGAGGTCCATCTGTATTCTCCACACTGCGGCCTTCTCTTATGTTTCTAGAATCAGGTATTGTTCAGAAAAAACACATTATGAACAGAGTAAAGGAAAGGTACCCCAGCCTTCAGAGTTCCTATCTTTGAAAGAAACATCCACATTCAGCAACTTGCAATATAACATGTTTCAATTTTGAAATAATTGAGGTTCTCTTCCCTTTGTTGAAGCCCCTGAGATTCCCATCATTGATCAAGCCTATTCAAAACTGAGTACCAGTATCACAGTGGAATGGGCAGCTGTCACAGGGGCATCCAGTTATCTGTTGACAGCACAGGATGGAGGGACGTTCGTTGAAACAATGGTCACAAATTCACCAGGGACCGTGACAGGATTGAAGGCTGCTACATTGTATAAAATCACAATCCGATCTATAAACACAGGAGGAAGAAGTCAATTTTCCCCTCTGAAGAAAGCAAAGACAGGTACTTTTTGATTTTATTCAGACACTAAATATTAACGTGACTTCTGCAAACAATGCAAAGCTTCGGATATGGAGGCGGAAAAATCCTTCAGAATATATGGGAATGCTTCTCTAACGCTGGTCATCAGAACAAATATATCCTTTCCTGGACTGGTGCTACAACTTCAGAGGGTAAGCATGTAAATCCAGGAAAAGATACAGTTGTTTTAAAGAGAGAAGCAACCTAGAACTAAGGAGAAATTTTCTCGCAGTGGAACAACTTGCCTCCAGAAGTTGTGAACGCTCCAACACTGGAAGTTTTAAAGAAGAAATTGGACAACTATTTGTCTGAAATGGTATAGGGTTTCCTGCCTGAGCAGGGGGTTGGACTAGAAGACCTCTGGGGTGCCCTTCCAACTCTGTTATTCTGTTAGTTGCAGACAGATAGTATGTGTACTTTTTGTCTTGAATCCAAAGTGTTGCATAGCCTTGCCACACTGCCTCAAACCACTTGTTTAATCTAGAATATGTTCTCCAGCTTGACACTTTCCCATCATCTATTATTGTCTGTTAAGAAATTAGGATCCATAAAAATATTGAACCCTTGTGTCCGTGAATTGCAGGAGGAAATATGAGTTTTATAGATATTTATAACGGATGTATTTTTACGGTAGATTGCTGCACAATTCTGTGTTAGAACATATATGCCAACAGTATATACAAATGTTATCTAAGAAACATCATTACCATTACTGACTGTTGTGATTCCTCACCAGCCAGTGGACCCAGCAGCTGAGTCTGAGGAATCAGATGAGGAGGGGGGGCCTGGAGTGACATCAGAGTCAGAGGAAGGCTCTGAGGAGCTCCAAGACTTACAGTCTGACGAGGAGCCTGGCCCCTCTATTCGCACTCAGGCTGAGACACAGCTGTGCTGGGAGTCTGAGTTGGACAGTGATGAATCACAGCTGGAAGATATCCAGGATGCACGTAAACGCTGGCAAGAAAAGAGAGTAGGACAGAGGAATGCAATGGGGCGGCTCCAAAGGCAAAGGAGAAGGCATTAGGCAGCCATGCCTTGGCTGCATAATAAAAGGGAAGGTGTGAGAGGTGCTGGTTGCTGAAGGCAACCGTTAGTGTTGAGGATCAAATTTCTGTGAACTGTTTTTTTTTTTTTTTGCCTTGGACATTGACTTAGGTCTGTGAATAATAAAAGGGGATTTGTTTTTTCCTGTGGTTCCAGCCTGCTTGTTGGAAGAGGGGTTTCTTCTTGTGAGCTTAACAAGGACTCACGTAGGCTGGGACAGAACACCAACTTAGACTGATATCTTGCCTGATTTCACCTTCATCTGCCCATGTACAGGATCTCACTAATTCTAATCTGTATTTTCTCATTTACAGTGCTCGCTGCCCCTATGCTGATAGCAAATTCTCCAAGTTGTAACAACATTGTGGTTAGCTGGAATGCTGTAAATATGGCTGTGGGATTCTCTGTCTCGATCATAAGATCAGATGGTTTGGGCAACATGTTAAAAGAAAATACCACCAACAACTCCCTGACATTTTCCAGTTTAGATCCAGGAACTCTCTATACCATCAAGGTATACGCATGGGATATTAATGGGATACCTGGAGATGATTTTACCTACAATCAAAGAACAAGTAAGAAGCCAGCATCTTTTTACAAGAAACAATTGAATTTCAATAAAAATAATAATGATTAAAGGAAAAATGTTCTTGCTTGCTGCCCATGGATTTAGCAGAAAGAATACTTGAATAACCATTGTGTTTTCAATGTTAGTGCTTTGAAGTGTTAATACCATTGGCTGTTGTCAATGATAAACAAAGAGTGAAAATATCATCAGTTCTTACAACTGATCTTCAAATTAGGCAATTTAAGCAAAATTATCACCAAACATCAGGGAAGGCTTCAATCAGACGTTTTTGGTTGCCATCTTGGCTACCTTGGTTTTTTCGTTGCAAACACTTTAGCTAGAAATGTAAGTGTTCATATAAGCCAGGGGTCTTCAAACTTGGCAACTTTAAGACTTGTGGACTTCAACTCCCGGAATTCCTCAACCAGCCCTGAGGAATTCTGGGAGTTGAAGTCCACAAGTCTTAAAGTTGCCAAGTTTGAAGACCCCTGATATAAGCTGTCTTCATACCTCACACAAAGGGGGAATTTGCTTAACAATGTTAAGTTAAATAAGCCCCATTTTTGATGGCTTCCCATAGGAAGCCAAGCTGTAAACCAAGATTTGACCATTGTTATAAATTAAACGAAATCAGAAAAAAAACTGTACCATAATTTTAGCGTGATGGTTGAAGCAGATCATAGAGTTTTGATTAAAAGCACTTTTTGGTTTTGTTTCCATTCAAATGACAGTGGGATGCTGTTAAAAATGTATTCTAGGGCCTCATGCGCCAGGAGATGTTCAAGTGGTCTTTGACAGTGGATCTTTGGGAGCACTGGTTTCCTATATGCCGACAGAAGGCGCTTCAAGTTACAATACTGCAGCCTATAGCAACACTTCCAAACGAAACTGTAGTTCAATTTCCACTTCCTGCACAATCTCATCATTGGAGTGTGGGGCTGAGTATTCCTTGGCAGTTGTAGCAAGCAACGAAGCTGGTTCTAGCACACCCACAGAGGCTGTGATTTTCAAAACTGGTAGGTGAAACACGCACAATCCAAAAATTATAGCACACGCGGAGAAATGTGAAGCAGAAAGACACACGGACTGTTTTTTTTTAATTGGAAATAAAATGTCCAAAATTTTGAACAGTCTTCATTATAAGATTGCAAGGCTTGTTTTACGAGCAGCCTCCCTTCCTTTTATTTCAGTTGGACTTTTGGATCTTTTGTGCTTCTGTGTGTGTGTGTGTGTTTGTATGTCAGTTTTGAGTACTGGCAATTGCCTGGACAAATCTTGGTAGCATTTTCAGATGTGGCTTGCTGTCTCCTCCTTTTTGGGTCTGAGAGACAGTAACTGGTCCAAAGTTATCTAACTGGCTTCATGCCTAAGACAGGAATAGAATCTATGGTCTTCTGGTTTCCTGCTTAGTAATTTTAACGTCACCAAACTGTTCGTCTTTTAGAACATATGCAAGAATAATTTCCTCCAAAATCTACAATAGAGTGCAATACGGACATCTGCTTAATGAAAATACTTTAAAACAAAGATTACTTGATAGTATAAAGACGTGCCGATAACATGTACTTATAGATCTGATTGGTGCTTGTCCATGTGGGTCTGAGTGAGGTGTGACTGCTCCTAGAAAGAGCAGGCAATAACCTTAAATACTGTTTCTGATTTACTGTATACGTTATACAATATGGACTGATTTTGCAGTCATCTTCTTTGGCTTTAGACTGGGCTCCCACAGCTATTGACATCTTTATTATAGATGGATTGATAAAAGCGGATATTAAATCACATCCTATCATGTTCAACAGATGAGCGTTCTTCAAACATCACATTGGTTGGAAGTTTTAAAAACTGCTGCAGATGTTATTGTCCTGAGTTTTCTTTCCTATGAGAAAAGTTAAAGAGAGTTTTGTTAAAATCTTTACAGCCCCTTGTGCTCCGGAATGTATAACCATTGAAGAGAAGGAACCAGGCAGTTTGGCTGTATCGTGGTCAGATGTTGACCTGAGTGATTATTATGTGGCTTTTGTGAAAAGTGATGATGGCTTGGAGGTGCACTGCAACACATCATGTACCCAGTGCCTTTTCCAATCAGATTGTGGCTTCACCTATTTCATTAGTGTCTTTGCCTATAACAAGGCTGGGCAGAGCCCTTTAGGTGACATATTTAATTATACTACAGGTAAGGACCAGTTTATTTCTGTATATTGGACAGACTTTGCACAACATTAGCAATCACTTTAATAAATGATAAGGGCAAAATTTACATGACTGTTAGGGCCAGTGACAAGTTTTTATTTGTAACGGTGTTAAGCAGCACAGAAATAATCTTATCTCTGCCTGAGGAATGAATTGTTTAGATGAAAGAAGCAGGCGGGTGTCAGCCTAGTTTTAATTCAGGGATGAACAATCATTCCTTCCCTCTTGTTGAGGTTTTTAGTTATACAAGAATCATCTCTTGATTACAGTACTCATCATATGGCATGGGTTAAAGTAAGAAGTAGGCAGGTCCTGCAATGTCTTCAGAAAATCAGGCTAAAGGACTAAAATGCTTGCTTTCAGTTATGATGAAAGTTATATGAGCCGAGGTGGCACAGCAGTTAGAGTGCAGTACTGCAGGCCACTTTAGCTGACTGTGTTCAGCAGGTGAGCGGTTCAAATCTCACCGGCTCAAGGTTGACTCAGCCTTCCATCCTTCTGGGGTAGGTAGAATGAGGACCCAGATTGTTGGGGGCAATGTAAATATATATATACATTGCTTACTGGTGTACACCGCTTAGAGAGTGCTTGCACTTAAAGCGGTATATAGTCTCATAAATAAATAAATAAATGATTTGATAGCTTTTTATATTAGATGATTCTTGATGACCCAACAGCAGGACCACTGCCACCTGGAATAGTGGTACTGAAATATAGAGAAGTTGTCTGGCAAATATTTCTTCTATTATAATATTACAAAATAAGAACCTATGACTAAATCTTTATTTGGGATGCTTGCGTTGCAAGAATTTGCTTTATTATTTTCTAGTATTATCTTAATCCCAACTCTGCCTTCTTTTCCCCCCTTCTTTTTAGCACCTTGTTGTCCTAGTAATTTTAGCCCGGTGTTTGTGTCTAGTGACACCGTTCAAATTATCTGGTCTCCTGTCCGTGGTGCTGAAATGTATGAAAGCAAAGCTGTCACCCTGACCAGTGAGTTACTATGCCATGATACTGCCACAACATGTACCTTCTCTGCCCTTGAATGCAACACTCTGTACACTATCACAGTCTATTCATTCAGTGAAATCAGAGGCAGCAATATGTCATGTGAACCTAAACAAGTGACAACAGGTATGACTTTACTTTAGCCTTCATTTTAAAGCAAGATATCAATAATAATAATAAGATACAACACTCGAAAAATTAATAACTGCTACCTTATGATGTACATGTTGGAAGTAGCACAATTACAGCAAAGGAATGTTGGCTGATTTTTCTTTGTTTGGTTTTGGCTCCAATAATATAATATCAATATAGTTAAACACTTGGTTATATTATTTTCATTAAGTAAAGTCTTCTTCAAGTCAGGTTGGATTCTTAATGTCTTCATAGACATGTCTACACAGTATTCTCGGTGACACTACAGAAGTGAATTTGGCCATTGCTCCTTTTTAAAAAACATGCAGCCTTGATCTTCTATACAAGTATGACCAAATTCTGCTTTTGACAATACTTAGTCCATGATAGCAGTGATAATTTTAGTAAGCTACTAAAAGTCATTTTTGTTGAATCCAATAAAATACAAAAATTAATTTCAGAGAAGATTGTGCCACACACAATGTAAATCCCTCAAAAAATATTGGAAATTATTATTTTGAAATTTCAAATAAAAACATGAAAGAACATGGTTGCAGCGAGAGGACATTTTGCAGTATGTGTGTTTCAGCTGTTGTATTATTGAACTTCCCATAAAATTGCAAATATTATAATGTGTGTCTCTTTTAATACGGTATGTGCCACAAATAAGAATGCAGTTTATCTTTGTCCTTTCTATAATCTTCAGCTCCGTGTAGTCCAGAAATATTAAACATCTCAAAGGATGCTCTTTCTATAAGTGTGCATTGGCATGCCACTAGCAATGGAGCAATGTATACTGTCACTGTAAAAGGAGAATCAGGAAAGTGGTATTGCACAAGTTCTGGAAATTCATGCTCTATTCATAACCTTCCATGTGGGTCACAGTTTTCTATCAATGCTGTAGCAAGTACAAAAGCAGGATACAGCTTGCCTAGTTACAGTGTTCCATTAGAGACAGGTAAGAAAAGTATTGCAATAATACAACTGAAGTCACCAGTGTGCAGTTTGCACCTACAGGTAGTCCTTCCCTTATGACCACAATGGAACCCAAAATTTATGTTGTTAAGTGAAAAAATTGTTTAGTGAGTTTTGCCCCATTTTATGACTTTTTTTTAAGCGATCACTTAAATTAGTTGTTGAATTAGTATCACAATTGTTAAACCAAATCTGTTTTCCCATTGACTTTGCTTGTCAGAAGGTTGCATAAGGGGATCACATAACCTTGGGACATAAATATGAATCAGTTGTGAAGTATCCAAATGTAAATCAAGTGACCATGGGAAGGCTACAATGGTCTTAAGTGTGAAAAATGGTCTTAAGTCCCTTTTTTCAGTGCCGTTGTAACTTTGAATGGTCACTAAATGAACTGCTGTAAGTCAAGGACTACCTGTATTACAAATGTCAAGTTCCCCCTTGCTTTAAACAGCACCACAATTGGTTTGTAGGCCAAAATTATAAAGGGCCTCCATGCCATAGATATTATGTGGTTGTCCAGCACCAATTTCTAGTTGCGAAGTGAGACGTTAAATGAATTTTGCCCCCTTTTACAACTTTTGTTGCCACAGTTGTTAAGTGAATCACTGCAGTAGTTCAGTTAGGAACATGGTTGTTAAGTGAATCTGGCTTCCCCATTGTTTTTGCTTGTCAGACGATCACAAAAGGGGATCACATGATCCTTGGACACCACAACTATCATAACTATGAGTCAGTTGCCAAGCGTCTGAATTTTGATCACATGATAATGAAGATATTGAAACAGTCGTAAGTGTGAAAAATGGTCATGTCACTTTTTTCAGGACTGGTCACTAAATGAACTGTTGTAAGTCAAAGACTACCTGCACCATTTTTTTCAAATAATATTGAAATATTTATAAAAAGACTTATGTTACATAAGATGTGATGGATCTGTTATCCATGTTACTGACAATTTATCAGCATAAGCAGCATCTATAGCCAAAGTTGCTAAAATACTTTAGCCGCTCCTTAAGAAAATGGCTGTCTATAGTGTATTTAAAAGAAGGCTAGTATTGAATGTTAAATATTTTTTTCTTTTTCTTTTTTTCAAGATCCTTGCTGCCCAGCTGATCTTTCAGTAAGTCAAGTGACACAATCTGTAACAAACATCAGCTGGTCTTCTGGGACTGGTGCAAAGACATACGTAGCCATTTTGGAATCAGACCAAAGACAAGCCTGGTGTCACACTCTCCAGACCTCTTGTCTCCTGGGATGCATTACTTGTGGAACTAACTATACTGTAACTGTAAAAGCAGTTAGTGAAACAGGCTTGGTCTCTGACTGCATATACAAAGGATTTTCGTCTAGTAAGTATGTGAAATCACTGATTAAAACTACTGTTGAAATATGAGAACATGAAATAATGTTTGCATACAATGAGTAATTTATGTTCATGGGCTTGAATTCTGAGAATTGTGAGTGAAAAAGATCTTAGGGAAAGGGCCATCTTCTCCCAGTTTCTGTTTTTCTAGAAAATCATTGATGCTCCAGAAGAAAATAGTCTATGCAGGCTGTCATCAAGGTTACTCCTGTTTTATATGTGAGTGGCTGCAAAGAGGATTGCTCAAACTAAACAGAGGAAGTAGAGATTCCCTCACAAAGTAATCACTTGTGTTTCATTCAAAGTCTTTGGTAATTTTTACTGAGGCCCAAGAATACAGGTAGTCTTTGGGTTACAATGGCAGTTGTGACCAGAATATCCAATGTTAGTCTTGTGATCATATAGCACAATGTCACATGATCATATTGCTTAATGACGGCATTCCTGGTAGTTGTCATTGCCATTGTAACCCCAGGACTGTGTGGGTCATTAAGTGGAAAGAGGCAGGAATCCCAGGCAAGGAGCATGTGGAGGTGTGCAAATGCCATGAGTGTGCATGAGTGCCACAGAGTGGTCTGCAGGCGCTATGTGCAGGTGCTTGGAGATATGGGTGAACTGATGAGGGTCTCAGATGAGTGCTAGGGAGTATTAGGGGCCAGTGAAGGCCACAAATAAGTTGCTAGGTGAGCACTGGGGAACACAGGTCAGCTGGTGGGGGCCATCAGTGGGATGATGAGGTTGTGTGATGACTTTCCCAGATGCTTCCCCAGATACCCCTTCAGCTTGGAGGAGGATTAGCCAGTTCCAGGCATGTCTGGAAGGGAATTGGTCAATGGTTCCAAGCAGCCGTCTTGAGAATGATTTGGCTGAAGCACAGCTGCAGCAGACAGCCCTGAGGCTTCAGGTGGGGAAAGCACAGAGTTGCAGCCAATCAGTGATGAAGAAGAGGAACTGCCTTCTGCACCTGATCCAAGAACATGTAGGGCAGAGAAAAGGCAGGAGCTGCGAAGGTCAACCCTATTACTCTTGAGGAAGCAGCCTCTCCCTTCTCGATGGGCTGCACCACAAGCTGGATATTTAGCACAGCAGACAGATGGAGGCAATATTGGAAATATGTTCATTTCCTAGCTGGGTTTCCTGATTGTTGCGATTCCTGCCTTGCTTTGGATTGACACTGTGTCTTAACTTTGGACCATGCCTTGTGAACCCTGAACTTTTCTTGCCTTGTGAACCCTCTTGTATTTTGGATTTAATTTTGCCTGGTGGGTTGATCTTGTTTGGGAAACTTTCAAATGCCTTGTGGCCATTGCTCTGTGAACTAGCGTAGGTTTACTTTTGGCTGGACTTAAATTGGGACAGTTCTGGATTTTTGGAGAAGGGAATTACTGGGGAATATTAATAGACCCACTAAATCTGTTATGTGTGCATGTGAGTGAAAACAGCACAGACTGTGGAGGTGGCTCTAGGGAGGAAAGGCTAGTTGGCGGAGGCTGCAGGTGAGCACTACAGTGCAGGTGGAAGGGCTCTAAGGGGCAGGCATGCTACAGAACATGGGTGTGCATGGGGATACTATGGAGTATGAGATCCTTAGGATCTTGGACTCTGCAGTGGGGCTTCTTGGGGTAAAATGTAGTGGGAGCGGTTTGTGACCTTTTGTGCCAGCTTCTCCATTGACTTTACTTGGAAGGGAAGGTCACAAATAGTGATTGCGGGGCAGCGGGATGCTGCAGCTATTGTAATTGGGAGCCAGTGATGCTGCGGATGCTGCAATGGCTGCAACTTTGAGGATTTATTGTTAAGTACCGCTATAAATTTGGTCACTGAATTAGTGATTGTAATTAGAGAAGTACCTATAAGGGCAAGAAAGTCTTCATGAGTTTCCTTTCATTGTGGCACACTTTGGCTTCATAATAAATAGATGCAAGTCAGACATAACTAATTCAATGTTTGTTTGCAGTCTATAGATATTGATGCATGATAATGTGAATAAGTAACCTTTTTCAGTTTGCTGTCCTGCCTTTATGTATGGGTCTCCAAGTAAGTTTAGTGCCTGCCTCGATTGGTCCCTGCAGTTTTCTTGGCAAGACAGTGATTCACCTTTGCCTTCTTTGTAATTTGTGAGAGAATGACTAGCCCAGAGGTAGGCAACCTTGGCTCTTTTATGACTCAGGGACTTCAACTCCCAGAATTCCTGAGCCAGCCATGGTGAGGGGAAAGAGGTTTCCAAGCTGACCCATGCTGGCTCAGGAATTCTGGGAACTGAAGTCAACAAGTCATAAAAGAGCCAAGGTTGCCTAGCCCTGGACTACCCCAAGGTCACTCAGGCGGCTTTGTACCTAGAATGAGACTAGAATTTACAGGTTTCCCTATTTCTAGCCTAGTGCTCTAACTGCTATCCCAAACTGGCTTTCTGGAAATTGCAAAAGGTTTGATCAAAGAGACCCCTCTTTGTGCTGTGGTGGAGGAAATGGTTTCAGGCTTGTTTCTTTAGTTTTAGGGTTTGGGGAGACAGGTAGGATTAAGGAGGAAAACAGTCTTTTAAACTCCTCTGAAAATGTTAGCCTCACCCACTCTAGGGCCTGAAAATTAGGCATTTGTGAACTTTATACTGGTTGCATGTTGCTATCACTTGTAACATTTATGATGACTTAATGGTCATAAAACTAATCAATTCCAACATATAATCTGGCTTTCTAAGCAACCGAGTGACCTGTTTTGAAAGCTTTAGCAATTTAAAAAAAGGTAATTTTTTTTTAAAAAAATGCCCATATTTGAAGCACAGTCCAAATTACTATGCATTTTCATTCCCACAGTTCATTGGCTTTGCATATTATGTATTGCATCTGAATCAGCATATTAATTTTTCAGCTTGACTGAAGACCCAGTAGGTAAGCCATTATTTAATGACTATATCATGACAAGGTTCACAAAACAAACACTAAAATTGCAAAACCAAACACACAATTATGCACATCCTACCTCCTTCTTTTTATTGAAATGAGAGCAATCTCAGAACACCTTTTAAGTTTTCACTGAAATCTGCACAGAATGATTTTAAGTGCCCATAAGTGGTAAGAAAATGTAGGCATTCAATGGAGTCTGTAAGTCACTGAAGCTGAAATTTGTTTTATTTTCTCTCCTAGGTGCTTGCTGCCCATCTGGGGTTAAATTATACAGGCTGGGCAGCAACAGCATACGAGTATATTGGCACAGTTTGAAAGAATCAATAAATTACAGCACAGATCTGTATGGCTCAAAGAGAAATTTCACCTGTATATCCACCGGAGCCCTGACATACTGTGACATCACTGAGATACCCTGTGGGGATGTCTATATGGTGGCAGTGTCACCTCTAATTGATCACAATAGAGCAAAGCTTGCATTTTGTCCTAAGAAAATGTATTCAGGTAAAAATCTAAAAGGGACTGCAGCAGTAAAAAAAAATTGTGGGATAGCATATGCAGGGAAACAGAAATACACACAATTATTAATCTGGTTTAAGCTGATCTTGAAGACCTGTCAATAATTGATAAGAAGAAATATCTACATTGGGGCTGTCCAATCTTGGCAACTTTTACGACTTGTGGATTTCAATTCCCAGCATGGCTGGCTGGGAAATTCTGGGAGTTGAAGTCCCCAAGTCTTAAACTTGCCAAGGTTGGAGATCCCTAATTTATTCAATGACTGGCATACACACTATTATCAATTGCCAGATTACCAGCATATATTTGCAACGACTGTTAAGGCGGGACTATCTCCTGGTTTCTAGGTTGATATCTTAACCACTACACCAGGGGTCTTCAAACTTGGCCTTTTTATGACTTGTGGATTTCAACTCCCAGAATTCTTCAGCCAGCATGCCTGGCTGAGGAATTCTGGGAGTTGAAGTCCACAAGTCATAAAAGGGCCAAGTTTGAAGACCCCTGCACTACACCAAACTCTTACCCAACATTATCTTAGATTATAAACTTGTAAATACATTAATATTTGAAAATAAACAGTTAAACATTGATTTCATTGCATAAAAATTCATCCAGCAATTTTAAACTTTTTTTTTAAAATAAGCAATGTAACCTTTTTGAGAAGTGTTTACTCTCAATTAAATACTTGCTTTTGCATGTTTTTCTTTTAGTGACATGTTCTGGAAACTCAGTAGGAATGGGTAAGTGGATATTTAATGCCCATTTTTGTTAAACTAGTATATTTAAGCTAAAATTTACCTAATAGGATGCTTAGACATTTATATCAGAAACTCATCCTATCTGATTCAATTTTTCTGTTTTAACACTGATATTTTTCTACATAGAAATACATGATTAACAATGTCTATCAATCTACATATAGAACTACATGAAATTTGGTCTACAGTAGACTACAAACTTGAAGTTACTAAAATCTTAACACTTGAAACTGCTAAATGCAGCTGAAGGGAATGAACTAAATGTAACAAAAAAGCCCCAGCCACTCGGCCTAAGCCAACCTTAAGACACATTACTTAACCCCGAAGGAAGCAAAAATCATTACCAAAGCCAGAGGCTAGTTTGTATTTGATTGATCTCAAAAAGCTAAAGCCCAATTAATACATAGCAGAGGGCTATTGAAGTAGAAAAAGCATTTCAGAAAGGTGTTTATAGCAAATCATTTCCATATTGTTATATATAAAAACGGAGTGTGTCCATGAAGTTACTGCTTTAAGTTGAAGACAATTTTACTTGGCTATGGATTTGATCTCCGAGCTTGGCGATTTTGCCGCAAACGTTTCATCTCTATTCCGGGGGGGGGAGGTGGGACGGGACAAAGCACACTGAAGATGTCCTCCCCCCGGAATGGAGACAAAATGTTTGCGGCCAAATCGCCAAGCTCGGAGATCAAACCAACAGCCCAACTGCCATCCCGAGCTACTAATATTCAAACACATAATTTTACTTTTAAATTTTCAAATGAATTTTCTGAATGACCTTCCTTCTTTATAACTAATCCTTACCAAGAAGTGGTCAATGTTTTAAATCTGAAACATTCTGAGCTCCTAAGAGATCTATCCAACATTGCTAGAATAACCGCATTCTCTAAACATCACTTGGAATCAATAAAGTTTTAACAGTGCTGGGACAGCAGCTGGAACATTAGAAAAGCAGACTGCGCTTGGACTGTTTCAAAGAATAAACATTACACAGTATATAAATTATCCCTACATATCTTAAATAGGGAAAAACCCACTGCCCTGAAAGAGACTTAAGGTCTTAGCACTTCTATTACAAACTAAAGCACTGAATAAACACTGTTTATAAAGGGTCAAATTGAGGCAGAGTATACAAAAACTCAGTGCCTTAATTATTGGATTTAAATGTATATTTTTAACACCATTTTCAGTGATCTATAGAGGAAGAAGTGCAGATCAGCATCAGGTGCTGCGCGAAAAAACTGAAACGATCCCGTAAGAATATTTTAAACTGTCTTTGAACTGAATGTAATGCTCTTTATGCCTTTTCATTCTATATCCACCTTACCACTGTACTTTTTTTGGTCAGTTGTTTCAATAAATGTGTACCATATAATATATCTGAGTCAGAAAAGATGCTATTATGAAATTCCACCATGTAATTGTTATTGCATATTTATTTCCCTTCCCCAGTGTGAACCATTATGGAGAATTTAACATTATAAAATATCATTTTCCTGTGTTTCTTTGAGGATGACATGCAAGTTATTCTCACTATATAAAGATTAGTGTTAATAACTGAATAAGTATTATAAATGTACTAAAGTGATAAAATTAGTTCTGCATTCTATTATAAAACCACTGAGCCAATTGGCTTGTTAGTAGTTTCGCTCATAGACTAGAAGGTCTACTCTTTACACAATGAACTGCAATTTCTATTGTTTATGCAAGCCCAGGCTGACTTGTTTTTCACAATGAACTGGTGATAACCACAAATAAATTAATCCAGTCTTTATTCCAGATATTTCTTATACAGGCCACTAGAACAAATCTACCAAACAGATATGAACTTTTGTGATATATCTTTCAGTTCGGCATTTTTGACATTATCTCACAGGTAATAAAATGTTTTAAAATTTAGTTCTTGTTGTTAGAGAAAAGTTCTTTAGCTCAAGCAATGATCACAAATCTTTGATTAAAAAACATTATGCATTACGAAAAGAACACTATGAAGATGCTTTATTTTAAATGTCTCATTTATATAAAAAAAAGATCTGACAGTCTGAAACTTAAGTCTGCTATTTGACCTTATTTTGCCATCCTGCCTCCCTCAATACATCTTTGTTTATTTCATGAATAACAGGGCAAGGGCATAAAATGACAAATGAAAAACGTAAGGTAATTTGTATCGAAAGAATCTTTACATGAACACAATAAACACTAGCCATAAAGTATATGTAGATATGGTACATAGGTTTATCAATCTCAAATGTCCCTGTGAGGTAGCACTGACTACTACATAAAACTCAGCAAATCTATATCCCTGCCTTAGATTGCTACCTCCTTTGAAAAGTCTAATCTAATTATAACACATTCTTGAGTTTCACAGTTAAAATGTATTTTAAATGTGTTCCCAAGACAACAGTTCTAGAACTGCAACCTTCATGGATGCTGAATGCACATAAATATTTTAGATATAATACATGTTCAAGACCCATCCTTAAAACTTCTGCCATACTATTATGCAAAGCACAGCCATGCTAATGCAAAGATAGAAACCATAATTCCACATCTATAAAACAAAGTAGAATTAGTGGCAGTTTTATTGCCGTATACAAATTTAACCAACATGGCAACCATGCCAAAGGAATTACAACAGTTTCAGGACATATGTACAGATTGTACATTTCAGAAACAGTTGAACATTTTTTTTAAAAAATGCACAAACAGATTTGCATCATGAAATTAACTAAACAAATGGACTGGAATAGCCAACACTTTTAATGGGATTACAAAGGCACTTCCCTACTCAAAATAGGAAATGACAATCTGCAGCCTAGAGGGAGGTTGAAGAAGAGTGCTCATCAACTACTGCACAATCTCAATTTTAAGAAAAAATAAGCAAGATTTCAAAACATTTATAGGATTCAATGTGATCCATTTCTGAATATTTATACAGTCTCATCTTTGTTTTTAGATTGTTTTTCTTGATTCTCTTGTTCTGTACTTTGGCTCCTCTGATCGCGTTTATCTGAGTGGTCCTTATCGCTGTGGTCATATCTGTGGGAACGTTCTTTGCTTTTGCTACGTTTTCGTGATCTTTCTTTACTAGGACTACGGTCTCGTTTTCGAGACTTTTCACTGCTATCAGTTCTTCCTCTGCTTCGGCTTCTGCTCTGCTTATTTGATTTCTCTTTACTTCCACTTTTATGTTTACTTGACTTGTCTTTACTCCCACTTCTACTATGCTTGCTAGCATTTCTGCTTATACTTCTGCTCCTATGCTTACGATCCCTACTTCGACTCCGGCTATGCCTCCTCTCTTTTTTGGCATCTCTTTTTTCATCTTTATGCTTCCTTTCATCTTTTTCATCTTTGTGCCTCCTTTCATCTCCTTCACTTTTACCTTTTCTGTCTTTTGATTTTTCTCTAGAATGATCTCTCTCTCTAGAGCGATCTCGTTCTCTTTCAACACCTCTCTCTTTGTCATGGTCACGGTCCTTCCTTTTATTCCTTTCATTTTCTTTCTCTCTCTCTCTTCTGTCTCCTTTTCGGTCACGGCTGCGACTTCTGTGCCTTTCGCGGCTTCGCCTACGTTCCAATGCGCGATCAGCACTTCGAGACCGTCGCCTTTCCCTCTCTCTCTCCTTAGCTTCACGCTCTAATCTTTGTCGCTCTCTTTCCCTTTCCAATTCTCTATCAAAACTGGATGAACCACGTCCTTCCCGATGATGACTTCTGCTTCTTGATCTTCTAGGTGACCTCCTAGGACTCAAGGATCTTCTTGGAGACCTATATTAAAATGACAAAATGTTTAAAAACAGAGGCTATCGCAACAAGGGTTTAATTGTAGAACATTTAATATTTTTCATCTGTTGGGTTAATTGTCAACTTTAAGAACCAAATTTTTGCATTATGATTTTTTTATACCTAATGTAATGTATAAAAAAATACCCAGAGGCAGGATGAAATCATTTGATCAGCTTCTGGTGTCTACTTAGCATAATTAATTGTATTTGTATATCACCCAACCCCCAATGAGTCTGTGTGGCTATTTAATTTACATTAAATACTTTATGTATTTAATTGTCATCCCCATCAGAAGACAGAGGTCACTTTACATAACTAAAAGAACCAAGAACCATAAAATCACAAAACTGTTATTTTAGAAATAAAGGTCAATAATTAAACTGAGCTGTAGTAACAGCCAACATATAAATCATAACAGAAAAATGTTGAAAATGATTGCTTTTACTTCTTTCATCAGTGTTAACTCAAAGATGGTTTATCTTGAAGTGCACAAACTGTAAGACCGGGTAGCCACACAAAAGACAACTTTTCTGGTTCCCACCCCTTTAACCATGAGTAGTGGGCATATACCGCCTGCCTTCATGACTTCAACATGTGAAATGAGCAGATTCTATCTGGATCACATGGTCCCAAGGTTAGCCAGCTATGGAAAGCTTTAGAATAGGGATCCCCAATCCCCGGTCTGTGGATCAGTACCAGGTCGCGTCATGCCAGCAACCGGTCCACACAAACAAGGAAAGCTTCATCCACAGGATGAAGACAGCACACAAAACCATGTCCCCTCCGGTCCATGGAAAAACCTCTCTCCACATAACCGATCCCTGGTGCTCAGAAGTTGGGGAGCTCTGCTTTAGAGCATGGGTGGTGTCAAATTCACCGCGTGACATGTCGCGATGTATTGCGACTTTTTTTTTTTTGCATTGCTGGAGCTGGGGTGGGTGTGGTCTCCGAATGATGCAACCAGCCTATGGGCCGACAGTTTGACACCCTTGCTTTAGAGCAGTGTTTCTCAACCTTGATAATTTTAAGGCATGTGGACTTCAACTCCCAGAATTCCACAGCCAGCATTGCTGGCTGTGGAATTCTGGGAGTTGAAGTCCACATGCCTTAAAATTGTCAAGGTTGAGAAATACTGCTTTAGAGGTAACAACTAGCACTTTGAACTGGATTAGGAAATGTATAGGTGACCACTACAGTAATCAAAGGGATTGTGTTACCCTGCTGAACTGGATTTCACCTGTCAGGATACGGGCTCTCACATTCAGTGTTAGCTGAAATTTCTGAATAATAAATAGCTTGAAACGGAGCATGCTGCAATACAATAGTCTAATATGAGTGATAAGGACATGAGTAATTATAGCCAATACATTCAAAGAATGGCTCTACTTGTTCCTTTAGCAGGAGCCAAAGATTCAAGAGAATCCACACTTCACACACATGCTCCTTCATCAGTGAAATTTCATCCAAAGTCCAAATCAGAGCTACTAAGAAATTTTCAGAATCATTACATTCAACTTGAACCTTTTCAACCTATTCAGTGCCCGATAACCATTAAACACTAGGTATGATAAACTCAGCATCTCTAAAGAGAGGTTTAATAAGATCCAAAGGATTGTTATACAGGTCCCATTATAATTATTTACAATAGAGACAACAAATGCAGCGTTTGGTCCAGATTGGCAAGGATCTAGACCAGCGGTTCTCAACCTGTGGGTCGGGACCCCATTTGGGGTTGAACAACCATTTCAAGGGGGTCGCCAAACAACGCAATCCGCCATTTTTTCCCCCTTTTCCTTAGCTGTGCTACTCCCTGTTATTCTATTGGCTTTTGAAAGCCAATAGAATAGACTCTTTTGAATAGTGTCTAATTCTATTGGCTTTCAAAAGCCAATAGGAATTGTCCAGGCTGTCTGTGCCCTGCTGAGCCCGCCAAAAGTCCCATTCTGCAAACGGTGCTGCAAGTTGTCTGCAGTGAAGGCGAGCTGTCTGGAAGTTTCCACCCTTCCCTGCTGAGCAACTACTAAAAATGTAAGTAAAAGAGGGCCAGGGGTGGGAGGTGGGAGGCTGGCGGGCGCAGGGAGGGTTGCTGGTGCGTGTGGGGCCCGGCGGGTGCCTTACCTCCCTTGGGCTGGGCCAGCTGGTGGCCCAGCTGGTGGTCGCCCTGCGCCGTCACTGCCCCTTGCCAGCTATGCCTCGGCCGGCGCAGGGGGCAGCACCACACATGCGTGGCACTCCCGGGCAGGGAAAGTCCTTGACTTACGACCGGTTGGGTAGTCCTCGACTTATAACCGGTTGGGGGTCGCGGCATTAAAAAGGTTGAGAACCATTGCTCTAGACGAACTATTTCTTCTCAGATATTTTGCAACTAAGTTCTAACCCCCTTCTCCCAAACTTTCCCCAAACAAGAGGGCTGGGGATCAAACAGAGTCACACAAATACTATGTAAACTTGCAAGACTCATCAGACTAAGCAAAGGGCACCAAGCTACTAGTGAATACAAGCAATTTAACTTCATATAATAGCTGCATGGAGGGTCAGCAGTTGCCTCAGCTGGGCATGTCACATCAGCAATGGAAGAAAGATGATGATGAAGATCAGCTTGGGGCAGTAGGGGTGCAGTGTTTGTAGAATACAGGGCAGCCAAAAGGGCAGAGATAAGGGGGGAGGCGACTGAAGTGCACACTGCAGTTATAAATGCAGGCAGGCTGCCAGGTATCCAAATGTTGATCACATGACTATGGGGAGCTAGAACAACCGTAACTTCAAGGACCAGCTGTAACTACCAGTCATTCAGCGTACCCTAACTTTCAATGGTCATTGAACGAATGGCATTGAGGACTACCTCTAGATGAGGTATTCAAATTAAATTTCACTTCAACCATGAACACCTAATGGTTAAGTCCATTTATCACAACTTAGCTACCACATAGGTATATGTGCCAATCTTGCAGAGCTGTCAAGAAACTGAAATAACGTGAAGCAGTTAGTTATTTCAAAATTATATATTATTTGTCTAATAGCAATAGGCAAATAATATTACAATAGCAAAACAATGCAATGATTACGCCAAATTACTAGAGAATGATTAAATAATGATTTGATAAAATTAATATATAACCTTGAACGTCTACGCTCTGCATGTCTGTCTACTTCTTCTACGCCCTCTTTGCCATCCTTCTTGATTTTTCTAGGTCTGGCTTTAATTTGTTGATCAATGTTCTTTTGCACCGGTACAGGAATCCTCGGAAATAATGTAGAAAACCATTCAAGCTTAGTAAGAAAAGAGCGCAGCATTTCTCCAATAGTCATCATGCAGCCGCCGCCTGCTTTCACATCAAGGTCCTTCAAAAAAGAAACACAAAACACAAGACACATTCTGGTTGTGAGAAGCTATTTAAAATTTATCTAGAAACAA